CTGTTTATTGTCTCTACTAGCATATGGTGGCCACCTGTGCATTGTAGGTACTAGCAAATGGTGGCCACCTGTGTATTGTAGCTACTAGCATGTGGTTTCCACCTGTGTATTGTGGATACTAGCATATGGAGACCACATATGTATTGTAGCTACTTCCATATGTTGGCCATCTGTGTATTTTGCCTACTAGCATATGAAGGCCACGTGTGTATTGTAGCAGCTAGCATATGGTCGCCATCTGTGTACTGTAGCTACTAGCATATGTTGGCCACCTTTTTATTGTGCCTACTAGCATATGGAGGCCACTTGAGTATTGTAACTACTAACATATGGAGACTACCTGTGTACTGCAGCAACTAGCATATTGTGGCCACCAGTGAATTGTAGCTACTAACATATTGTGGCCACCTGTGTATTGTAGCTACTAGTATATAGTGGCCACCTGTGTGTAGTAGCTACCAGCATATGGTATCCCTCTGTGTATTGTGGCTACTAGTATTTGGTGACCACCTGTGTATTGTAGCTACTAGCATATGATTGCCACCTGTGTATTGTAGCTACTAGCATTTGGTGACCACCTGTGTATTGTAGCTACTAGTATATGGTGGCCACCTGTGTATTGCAGCTACTAGTATATGGTGACCACCTGTGTATTGTAGCTACTAGCATATGATTGCCACTTGTGTATTGTAGCTACTATCATATGGTTGCCACCTGTGTATTGTAGCTACTAGTATATGCTGGCCATCTGTATATTGTAGCTCACAGGCTGTATTTTGAAGTTTCTAGTATATCCCTTCGATGAGTTCCAAGAGTTTTCCTCTGTCGGAGCCCGGCCATGGGCCAGGCTCGTCTGGTGCTTACCTGTCATATCCATCACAGCTTGTTGATCTGGGACCAGGTGAAGATAGTTGTCTAGTTTCCTCTTGTAGAGTTCTATAATTCTCCCAGTAGTTGTTTCTGATATCTTCTGGTAAATTGTTGAATAATCTTGGAACAAGAATGTTGATACAGTGTTTCCTTATTATGCTCACTGCTCCCTTGGTTTTCACTGGGTTTATCTTGCACTTGCTACCCTATCTCTTGCTCTAGTATGTTTTTATTGCAGTGTGTAGATTAGGGACAAGGCCCTCAATCACATTCCAAGTATATATTATCGTGTATATCTCTCCTCCCCTCTAATGATTACATATTTTAGTCTTTAAGGTGTTCCAGTAATTTAAGTACTTTATTTGCTCTATGTGAGCCGTAAACGATCTCTGTACTTATTCAAGTTCTGATATTTCTCCTGCCTTGAACGGGGCCGTCAACACTTGAGCAATATTCCAAATGATGGAGCACGAGCGATTTAAAGTGTCACCATTGGCACTATTTTTCTTGGTTTAAAGGTTCTCATTACCCACCCGGTCATCCTCCTGGATGTGGTGACCTTTGCCTTATTTTGTTCTATGATAGGAAGGTCAGCTGACATAGTTATTCACAGGTCTTTCACGTGTTCCTTTCGTTCTATCTGACGATCCTTTTGAATTCTGTAAACATTGTTCCTTTTGAGTTCTTCATTCATGCCATACCTGGAACTTATCACCATTAAACATTGTGTTGTTCTACACTGTCCACTGGAAAATCCTGCTTACATCTTCCTATAATTTTTCAGTATTTTCTACAGAGGTGATTTTCATGTAAATTTTAGTGTCATCCACAAATGATGATACAAAACTGTGACTGGTGTTTTAATCTATTTCTGCTATGAAGATAAGAAACAGCAGAGGTGCCAGGACAGTGCCTTGGGAAACTGAACTTTATACATCACTGGTGCTGGATTTTGCTCTGTTTACTACTACTTCTGTTTTTGTTCTGTGTGTAAGGAACCCTAAAATCCATCTGCCTACGTCCAGACATTTGCATACAGATGCTTACAATCGCAAAAATTGCCTTTGTGTCAACAATGATATGCAAATGATAATCTTATCAGAACATCAGAAGGAAGTGGCTTCGGTAAGTGCGTTCGTGGCCCCGGAGCCGGACTCCTACTAAGTCTTTGTACCACCTTGTACCACTTTTTGTGTGCAGTTACCCCATGATCGCATTTGTTAAATGCTTTTGACAGGTCTGTGTATATAACAGTTGCGTTTTTGTTGCCTTCTTACGCCCCCTTAATTATGTCATAGTGGTTCAGCAGCTGTGACAGGCATGATCGTTCGTCTCTTAAACCATGCTGGTTTGGATTATGTGGATTTTGCTGTTCCATGAATTTTGTAATCTGACAACTCATCACTCTCTCGAAGACTTTTATGATGTGAGAAGTTAGGGCTACTGATCTGTAATTTTTAGGTAGTGCTCTACTACCTCCCTTATGCGAGGGAGCTATGTCTGCACTCTTTAAGATGTTCGGTATTTCACTTAGATCTAGGCTCTTTGTCAAAAGAATACTGAGGTCTATTACTAGTGGTACTTTGCACTGTTTTATAAATAGTGAATCTATGAATCTGGTCCAGGTGCTGAGTGAATGGGCATGTTTTCAATTTTCTCTTTCGAGTTATATGGTATTAGTACTAATGTTAGTTAGTTGGTCTGCACGGCCTTCCGATGGACTGAAAAAGTTTTCAGCATTCTCTACCTTGCTGTCATATAGCTCATTTCCTGTTGATCATCAGTATACGAATCTCCTTTCAATTCTTCAGGTTATTCTGACCTTGGATTTTGCATATGAATAAAGTATTTTGAGTTTCTTGCAATATCCTGGATGGTCTTGTTTTCCCTGTGTGCTTCTTCTGTTTGGTAAGACATCCTGAGAATTTGTTTTATATCAGTGATCTCTTGGCTAAGACAGTCTTTCCTTCGTTGCAGCATATTTATGTTTTTAAGCAAGTTGGTAACCCTTTTTCTTCTTTTGTATCATCTCCGACATTCTGTCTCTATATTTGATTTTCTACGTTTCCTCAATGGTACATATTTAACAATTACCTTGTATGCTTGTGTATTCAACTTCTCCAGGCAGTGGTTAGGATTTAGGATGCTCATGTTTGTTTCCCAGGATATGTCTGATAGTTCTTGGTTTATTTTGCCCGAGTCAATTCTCTGGTTGTTGAAATTAAACTTACTGAATTGCCCGTAGCTCCCAAACCCTGAGTTAATACTCGTTTGTACTTCTATGATGTTGTGATTATAGTATATTGTTTTTTTGTGATTGTTATGTCTCTGATTAGTTCCTTGTTGTTTGTGAATATCAAATCCAGTATATTCTTATTTCCAGTGGGATCAGTTATCTGTTGGTTTAATGCAAACTTATCACAAAGCCTTATTAATTCCTGATATATACCTGTTGAGCCAGGGCGCTTCCAGGAACTATTTCTGGTATAACGTTGTGTTGAGTTATCTTCCATTTTACTGTGGGAGATTGAAAGCTCCAGGGAAGATAATATTTGATGTGGGATTTTTAACCCATCACGATAGTCATCTGTCTTCCTTAACTGATCTGTCAATTCCTTAGCCGTAAACAGTGAATATTACCTACAGTCCATTGTGGTTTCAGCACTCAAATGTAAGACGACACAGGTAAATAATAAAAAAAAAAAGCAATTAGGTATCCCTGAAGGAGAATCTTCAAATAGTTGCTTGGATTCTTTTCTTTTCTCTTTCCCTCCAATTTTTCATTTCATTTCACTCAGAACTCGAGAACCCATCGTCCAATCAGCTTCAAATTTAACTCTGGTGTATAGTAACTTGGTTAAGATTCTTGGAACTATCAGCATGCGTAGGTTCCCTGTAGCCAACTCTGCAGGAGGCATTTCCAGGATGCTGGAATGGCTCCGAAGACTTGTAGCACTTTGCACGGTGTACCTTCATGGTCCTCTTAAGGGTCTCTTGATCCAAGGAACTGAACTTATCCTTTCCTTGCTTGGATCGAATCTGAATGCTTCCCATTCCACAGACGCTATGTGACACCTAAGGGTTTAAAGCTCCCCTTTGGATATAATATAATTGTGATGACCTTCAGTCTTAAGTGGCTGATGTATGATATGAAATGGATGAAATTCTTCATGATTACTGGCTGTGTGGGCGGAAATTTTCTGGGATTCTGGGCAATAACTGGGAAATGCTTCGCCTCAGTTTTAATATTTTATTGATTTGTCCTAAATGGAAAAAATCTATTGTTTTCAGGTTGTTTAAGTCATAGGCGAGCCAGTTTTATTAGCTATTTTTTGTGACATAATTAGAGAATGTCTCTTCTAGTTAGAAATAAGTCACAGTGGTTGACTTTTTTTGGGTTATCTTATGTTAAATCTTCACAGTGCACTTTAGTGTTTACGTAACATTTACGAGCTCTCACAATCACTTTAAAATTTGCATGATAAAGAATTCACAAAGAAAGTAACTAAAACTTAGAATTTTACCTACTTCCTTAAAAACCGAACTAAATTTGGCTTGTGTAAGTCCCAGTTTGTATATTTGAAAGAAACTGGTAAAACTGAAAAGCTGTTTTTCATGTGATGATTTATGAGTATTTCATCCGATTAGCTTCAGCACTTCAACACTGAAGCCTTGATAATACAACTTAGTGCGCCTTCAGGTTTAAGGTTGCTGAAATTTTTTTCTAGGTTAATTGTCTCTCTGAGATAACAAGAGAAGACCTCCTCAGTTTAGCTTTAATACTGACGTTCTTAATGAAAGATTTAAATTAGACAGGAATGTATATATCTTAATTTGTCATTTTTATTGAAGAAAGTGGGACACTAATTTCCATATGGTGACTTGTGAACACCTAATCTGATTTGCACTAATCTCTGCACCTAATCCCTGCACTATCCCAGTCGCGTGCATGAAGTACAGGAGACGAGTTATGCACAAAACGGATAACTTTTTATCTCGGAGGGAACTGGGAAATAGACAATTTTCTACTGAGAATTAATAACCCTCATTGAGCCCCAATAACACCCAATGAACCCAGCAACCGAAACTGAGAACCAATAACCCCCTACTTTCATATCTTCCTATCATAGATTCAGTGGGTTGACGACAACCGCCGTGAGAACATAAGGACAGGCGCCGTGCTGGCCACGGAGGCCATGCCAGATGGGAAGAGAGTCACTGTCCGCTCCCGTCTCTCCTTCACACCACGACGGTCACACCACAACTCCACTGTCACCTGTCTCACCTCCAACCAGGCCCTCACCTCCCCCCTCACCAGGTAGGTCACCTTCACTCACCAGGACTCTCAACGACGAGTTTGTGTCGGAAAAAATAGAAACGAAAGCATTGTTTGTCAATAGAGTTCTGCATAAGTAGAATAAAATCTCCCGAGTAGCTTCACAGAACTCTAAATGAAGGTTAGACAGGTACATGAGTGTGTGGTCTGCGTGTGTTAGATGAGAGCCCTGAATCTGCACTCTCTAGAAAAGCGTAGATTTAGGGGGGAGGGATATGATTGAGGAGTATAAATGGAAAACAGGAATAAATAAAGGGGATGTAAATAGCGTGCTAAAAATATCTAGCCTAGACAGGACTCGCAGCAATGGTTTTAAGTTGGAAAAACTCAGATTCAGGAAGGATATAGGAAAGCACTGGTTTGGTAATAGAGTTGTGGATGAGTGGAACAAACTCCCGAGTACCGTCATAGAAGCTAAGACGTTTTGCAGTTTTAAAAATAGGTTGGATAAATACATGAGTGAGTGTGAGTTGAACCTGACTAGCTTATGCTAGTAGGTCTGATGCCCAGCTCCTTCCTTAAGTGGATGTGATCTGACCTGACTAGGTGATTCAGTGGTTTAAGCCGGAGGTGGCTTAAACCTGCCTCGCATGAGCCAGTAAGCCTGCTGCAGTGTTTACTCTTTATTTTCTTAAATGTCAGGCACGAGCCAGTAGGCCTACCTTAGTGCTCCTCCTTTCTTATTTACTCTGTTTCCATTTTCGTTTTTGTTAATTATGGACTGGGTAGATCTTGAACCCATGATGGCGGCTTCGTTGTAGATAATGGAAAAAAGCCAAGTGGAAATAAACACACTAGTAGAAGAGAATTGTGAAACCAAGTTTCATGAATAGCTGGGGATTATCAAGCATAAATGGAGCAGCAAATACACCTTCCATACTGTGCAAACTAGCACACTGAGGTCAGGTTGCGAGAGACTGGTCACATGTATGGTCATAAAACTGCGGGTTGTCGTGCAGGTGAGGTCAGGTATAATTAAGGTCAAGCATTGGTGAGAGGAGGTTGTGCGCTTAAAGAAAAATAAACACATAAACAGTATAATATGATCCTTGATTGACAACGTTTCTCCCCTAGAGTGGGCTTTATCAAATCACAAACAGATCAACCTGGGTGAAAGGCACGTGAGTATTTATAGGATGAAGTCAGGTGGAGAATGCCCGGTAGGTTGGATCTGAAACTGCATGTGACAATCTTCCGAGTAGGGTGATGGAGTCTAGGCCCTAGGGTAGCTTTAAAAAGAGATTGGACAAGTATATGAGTAGACCTGCAGTGTTCCTCCATTCTTATGTTATGTGGGATAACGATGAAGAATTTGTGATAAATGATTTAAAACCGACAAGCTAAAGATTGAGACACTTATGCAACATATGGGAATCTTTACTGAAGAAACGTTTTGCCACACAGTGGCTTCATTAGTCCAATACAAATCAGAAGGGTGTAAGGAGAGGAGGAGTTTGAGGTAATCAGTCCCTCACCCCTGAGTCGATGTGTTCAGTCCATCAATCTTGTAGAAAGTACAGCATAGGACCGTAGAAGTGGCTTATATACTGTTGTCAGATGAGGCGAAGCAGGAGGAGGCGGGGTCAAGTGGGACCATCCACTAGTCTAGGTAGGTGTTCGTCCAAAGATTGGACAAGATTCCCATATGTCGCATATGTGTCTCAATCTTCAAAGATGGGTATACTCCAAATCGCAAAGTATACAGAGAAGCCACGCCCACCTTGACCTCAAATCCAAGCGAAGAGTTGTCATTGGTATGTTCCTCTAAGCAATCCGGGTTAGAACTGAAGAATTTCTTTCAGGAGAACAAGGAAATGTTGATGCTAATAAGAAACAATGTGCGGTTTAAGGAATTTTATTGTCAAGACGTTTCGTCCACCAGGAATCTTATCAGGAAAAATTAATCAATTTCCAGGTGGACGAAATGTCTTCTCAATAAAATGCCATAAACCGCATACTGTATCTTGTTGATACACTTGTCGATCTATGGTACCATTGATGTACTTGAAAACATTGCAGAGGAATATGACAAATTACAGTTCCCAACACATATTGTTCACCCCAGAAATCATAAACTTTTCCTCATACACAGCGCACCAACAGAGGATACCAACATTGACTGACGACTGGTTCTTACTTCATCACTATCGCCCCAGTTCTCCGAGAACACAACATGAATGCAGCAAACCTATTAAAAGTATCACATCAATCACCAGAAACCCGAAACACATACCTACTGGGACGGTGAGAGTACAGCATACAGTACAGTGGACGCCATAAATGCTATGACTGAGAGATATGGTGATTCCAGCAGGAGTATGTGGAAGAAGATGCATATGTAGAGCTCAAAAAATTGATTGAGGAAACGTTTTCACCACAAGAGGTTTATTCAGTCCTAAATAAGCCACTTGTGGCGAAATGATTCCTCCGTAAATGTTTTGAAGTGTTCATATGTGCATTTTGATAAATTCTGTGTTCGGGATGTCAGCCGAGATCTTCAGACACGCTTTCATGAGCATGAATATGCCTGGATTAGGGATATAGCTAACAATGCATGCGAAGTGCAACGCAACATTCATTGTCATATGAGCTCCTCAGTTATACCACGAGAACGACATGACTATATGCAGAATTTTGGAAACAGCAGTGATCTACCTCACTTATACTAATGAACAAAACAGTGGAAATTCACATGTTGGCTGGACCTACTATCCACATATTTCTAACACAGGTGGTAGTCTTAAGGTCCGTAGTACCTGGTCGTAATTAAGTCAGCAAAACAAGGAATCAACAGAGCAGAGCATGGGCAAGGCAAACAAGACAGAGGTAGATTTCTTTAGCAATCTATTCTGTCACCAATATTTACATTATGTACAATGTTAATGAAGAAAAATATCAGAGTAAAAATGGAGTCAAGACCTACTCAGAGCATGAGTGGTCACGACCAGTGTCCGTGGAAGTCTGCCACTCAGCCAACCTGGCTGAGTGGCAGACTAAGAGGATTGTCTGATATCATTGTCTCGACTTCCAGTGGTAAACATGTCATTACATTAACAAAGAAGAATAACAGTTTATGTATTGATCTTAAGGGAGCATCCTTCATTATTCTTTCCTATTCACTTGTTTTCTGTTTTTTAAACATTCCTTGATGTATGTTAGCACTTTCACGTGTCCTCTGATTGCTCCTTAATTATTTTAACAATCACTTATGGGAAACAGTTGTGTTTGCAGTTCTGATAAAGTTTAAGACTCGTTATTTTACATTTGCACCACCTGACTGAGATGAACCGAGTATGTTTACGTCCTCCTCTCTGTTCTGACCTTAACCTTGTGGACCCATCCCTCACAACGTTCTTTTCGGTAGTTAGGTTAGGTTAGGTAAGGTTCTTCAGGAAACAGGACAAATATTTCCTGACGCGGGTCTTAGATAATGACCTGCCTTTGGAGTTTTTGGTCATCTGACCGAGGCCTTCCGCTGGCTTACCGGTCCACCCCTTGAAAATTATGGTCATGTAGAAGCATTTTTGTTCTACTAACTCGGTAGTTTGGTTAATTTCCAGTTCTCATTTATCCGCTTCCACCTCAACCAAATATTCATCCAACGACACTTAAGTCTTATCATGCTGCTGCGTCCCTAGCATGTATTTCAGTTGTTTTTCTTCATATATTGGATTAAACATTTTGCAATTCAGTTTTTTCAGCTACTCCCTGTGTTCTTGATCTCCCATATTAATAACAGACCTTTCAGTTAATTTCCTTTTTATCTGCCTTCATGACCATTTTCCTATTGTCCTCTGGTCTTTTCTTGTGCCCTGTGGTGTTTTTCCTTGTGTCTCCTAAGTGTCTTCCTGTGAGCCCTAGTCCATATTTCATCTCCTATAGAGTCGCTAAATTTATCGGAATCAGATCTTCCTGGTACTCAAAACTTTACAAATTCCTTACAATAATAGTACAGTGTCTATTATTCCAGTGAGTTCATCATTATAATATTTTTAATATCTGGACACTCTTCTTGTACTCTGTGATATCAAGATTTTTGTTATTCAGTGGAAACAGAAGAAGGGAGAAGTGAGAGATGTGTAAGTGTAGGGAAAAGAGGGAAAATAGAATAGGAAGTAACAGGGAAAGGAGGCGTAGAAGCAAGGAAAATGGAAGGAAAGAAATCGGAGAAATGGAGGGAGACAGGATTAATGGGGTAAGAATAGGAAGCGAGCTGCGAAGGGGATGGGAGGGAGTGAGAGGAATGGTGGTAAGAGAGGGAGAAGAATGGGATGGGAGGGAGAGGAAGTATGGGATGGAAGGGAGTGGAAGAATGGGATGGGATGGAGTGGAAGGCTGGGATGAGAGAGAGAGAGGAAGGCTGGGATGAAAGGGAGACGAAGAATGGAATGGGAGGGAGAGGAATGCCTGGTAGGGTAAATAAGACGGGAAGTGAAGTGGGGTTGACAGTAATGGTGTTGGAAAGTGCTGCTTGTTTTTCTGTTTACAGAATGTTAACACAAGCAATGAGGGAAAAGTTGAGGTGGCAAACACTTGGGAAGAGACAGGAATATTATGTAGTGGGAAAAGAAAAAGTTAAGTGGAGGGTGTGGAAGATCTGTCATACGGGCTGTTCCTCTCAGGGCATCAGATCGTGTTTCTCTACCCATGGTTCTGTGGCTTTCTTCCTAATTTTTCCCCCCTAAAGCTTAGCTCTTTTCTCTTCTCATTTGCCCGATCTTTTTGTAGAGATATTCTCTCACATCTGATTATCAAAGTTTTTTTTTTTTTTTTTTTTTTTTTTACGCAGGGTTTGACAAGGTTAGGTTAAGGATCCCTAGCTTTATCGACAAGCTATTTACAGGTTAAGGATTCCTAACTTTACTGGCAAGCTAAGAGCTGTTACCTACATCATCTCATTTCCTGTTTAGTACCTGACTGTAACAGCTACTGAGTCAAAAATTCTCTCTCTTAATAACGTAGTCTTTTTCTGTCTTACAATCCTACTAAGTACATTATTTTTTGTTGCTTCTCTTATTGTAGTTGATAACAATTCTTCTATCTCCTTTTGTTTTTTTTTCCACGCACTTCTCGTCTTTCTTCACTTAATGACTGTAGTGACATTTAATTTACAACATTGTTCTTCTCTACCTCCTGTATAATGTTTCACACTGCCTCATCAGTTTCTATTATTATTGAAATATTCCATCAGTGGTAAGACAGGTTCGTCCCTTAGAGAAACCTTCTTTAGGGGTCTAGAGAATATGTCCTGTGTGTCGTAAGTAACTTTGTATTAGTGTCCTCTAGATGCTGTGTGGGTGTCTGTCAACCCTGAAAGTTTAGTTTGAGAGCCAAGGTAATCTCTCAGAGAGACCGTATGAGAACCGAGGTAATCTCTTAGAGACACTGCATGAGAGCCGGTATAATCTCTCAGTGAGATTGTTTCTGTATATCCTCTGGCATCCTTGTAAGATTTGCAAAAATTGTATTTTTTTTATATTCTAGTTAATTCCAGGTATGATAACTCACATCTTATCTAAATATCTTCTTCTCCTACTCACTTGCTTCCCTATCATCGTTCACTTTCACTCACCTCTCACCATCAATCATGTTTTATACCCATAATCACCTCAGTCAAAGACTTATTCTCTCTAATTTTGATTCATACCCACTCACTTCTGGCCCCCAACGTCCACTTTTCAGCACTTACCTTTCACTTTTCAGCACTCATTTCTCACTTTTTCTCTACTCTCAAATTCACTCACTCTCACCCCATCCCCCTCTCACCCCCACTCTTACCTCTCACCATAACTTGTCTCTAATTTTCACTCACCGCTCGCTATCTTTCACTTCCATTAGCCTCTCACTCGCCCCGACACTCGCCTCTCACTCCCTGTCTTACTCATTCACACTCAGCTTTCATTCTTCCACTCCAGTCTTACTCCTCTTACACTCACTCATCTGTCACTCTTACATCCACTGCCCTCTCATTCCATGACTTCTAACGCTCACTCTCACCTCTAACCCTCACTCATTCTCACCTCCATTCACCTCACAATCCCTCTCATCCCTCACCACTACACACTTCTTATTCACACTTCTTTCCTCAGTTCGATCCAACTGAGTGTTCTCTTCCCTCCTGAAGTTCGTCTACACGTCCGCCCTCAGCAGCTGATCGAGGGAGATGATGCTACCTTTATATGCAGTGCCTTAGCCAACCCCAGCATCATTACCTACAGGTAAGATCATCTTCTGCAGCATCACCTACAACCCCTCAATCATTACTTTCAGGTAAGCTCATCTCCTACAGCACCATCTACTATACAGACAACCTCACCGTCATCACCTAGAGTTAAGATCATCTGCAGCAGCATGACCTACAAGCAGTGTTATAGACCTTACCTACAGGTAAGGTCACCTCCAGCAGTTCCACCTACAGGCAATCTTACCCAACCACAGCAGCAAGATTATCATCTACTGCACCATTTATAAGTTAATACCAATCTTGATCGTCTAATTAAGTTTGAATATTCAACTACTGAATAAAAAAATGACTTTTAGCTACAGCCGATTTCAATCATATTAAACATATTTATCATAGCCAGTAATAGGAATCCACCAAAATCAGAAAATAATGCAATTTACTGCTCTGTAAACTAGAAAACAATTGAGTCAGCTTTAAAGTAGTCCTGACCTAATTTACTCAGCGACAGTTGCATTACTGTAGCTAGGATAGAGAAAGCTATGTCGGGGATAAATACTTTCGATGTAGCCAGAATAGACCAAAGAGTCTAAGAGTTAGCTACAGTCACTCTAGCCAGTATGGAGTTTGTCTCTAAACAAAGATATTTACAATCCACTGGTGAACTTGACATACACAATTCTCTGAAGCTAAAAACGAAATTAGATGCAAAATATTTCCTCCCGCAGGCCAGAATATCCAATTATTTAACGGAATATTGAACTCTTGGCAACTGTAAAATTTAAGATTTAAAGAGAACACATGACGTTTAATAACATAAACAACAATAATCATAGAGTTATCAAAAATAATAATTTTTATTTTTTTATTAACACATCGGCCGTTTCCCGCCGAGGCAGGATGACCCAGGAAAAGAAGAAACACCTTCATCAACATTCATTCTATCACTGCCTTACCAGAGGCATACTTACATAAAAACTGCAACATATCAACAGCCCTCCTTCAGAGAGTAGGAACTGTACTTCTCACCTCCAGGACTCAAGTCCAGCTAACAGGTTTCCCTGAATCCCTTCATAAATGTTACTTTACTCACTCTCCAACAGCACGTCATTTATAAAAACCATTCGTCTACACTCCTATTTAACACTCTCACGCACGCTTGCTGGAAGTCCAAGCCCCTCGCACACAAAACCTTCTCTACCCCCTCCCTTCAACCTTTCCGAGGACGACCCCCCCCTTACTTCCACCACAGATTTATAAGCCCTCCAAATTATTCTATTTTGTTCAATCCTCCCTAAATGTCCGAAACACCTAGACAACCCTTCCTTTGCCATCTGGATTATAATAGTAATAATAATAATAATAGTAATAATAATAATAATAATAATAATAATAATAATAATAATAATAATAATAATAATAATAATAATAATAAAATTACACTCAATGATGTTTAAGTAGTTATAGTTATAAGTAGTCAAGTTAAGGAGATTCCAACAAAGGTGACTCTGTGTCTTGCAGATGGTATCACAACAGCCAGGAGCTGCAGAACGAAACCTCAAGAACTCTTACATTGTATAAGATCTCCAGAAACTTACACCAAGATGCTATATCATGTGAGGTAAGTTATGGACCCACAGTATATCAAATACACATAATACATATATGTATACATATATATACATATATATATATATATAATATATATATATATATATATATATATAAATATAAAATATATATTATAACCAATCTACCCACACTGGACAATACCTTGGCGTGTAGCTTGCGCTACACGTTGATCCAAGGCAGCCAGCTTTCAGGGAGAAGGCTTACACGCCAAGGTATTGTCCATTGTGGGTAGATTGGCATAGCACTGCGTACCTTGTTCTAAGATTCGTAGGTTCGAGTCTCCTTCAGCCAGAGATCAGTGTTTGTGTATATTTCGCCTGCTCTTGCGAATTCCTTGCATTGTTAAAATCTCTAGTAAGGCTGATGCATGCAGGGGATGATCTGAAAAGCTACAAGCCTTCTCCCTGAAAGCTGGCTGCCTTGGATCAACGTGTAGCGCAAGCTACACGCCAAGGTATTGTCCAGTGTGGGTAGATTGGTATAGCACTGCGTATCTTGTTCTAAGGTTCGCAGGTTCGAGTCTCCTTCAGCCAGAGATCAGTGTTTGTGTATATTTCGCCTGCTCTTGCGAATTCTGTATATATATATATATATATATATATGATGGGGTCCACCTCTGGTGTAAATTGTGGGACCCATAGCCTCGGAGAAGTGGATAAAAAGGCTTCAAGGAGGAATATTTGGATTTCTTCCTGAAGCCGTTTGAATATTCCACTTTCCCTACCACCCCATCTTTTAAACTATTTTTTTTTACCAATAGGAATATTTTATTACATAATATGGCACAGAAGATTTAAGAGATACATTGTTAATATAAAGGTGGCACATACGGTACATGTTGTTACGTGTGTATCACTGATTATAGGGCGAAAATCTCATCCAGCTCCTCAGAGCTGGGGCGTGTGCCCAAAATGCAGCAGGCATTACCCCTTTGAACAGCCGCACTGAGCATATATATATATATATATATATATATATATATATATATATATATATATATATATATGTGTGTGTGTGTGTGTGTGTGTGTGTGTGTGTGTGTGTGTGTGTGTGTGTGTGTGTGTGTGTGTGTGTGTGTGTGTGTGTGTGTGTGTGTGTGTGTGTGTGTGTGTGTGTGTGTGTGCAAGTGTGTGTGCATATATATAAATAGTCACATCTCCTGTATTCCAGTTCAAGTGTGGAAGAAGATAGTCATATATAGTACATAAAACTCTACTCATGTGTAACTCTCGTACCAACTGTTTGACAGGTATCGAACAAGGTGGGCACGTCGAGGAAGACACAGAGCGTGCACGTGCAGTACGGTCCAATGTTCCGTGCCCTACCTCGAGACGTCATGGCTGAGACCGGAAAGGAGGTCGTTCTCAAGTGCGACGTCGACTCTAACCCTCCAGCAACCATTGTATGGCTCCAGGAGGGATCCGACAAGGTAGTCTACTGCTCCCTCACCCCATCTGCTGCAAAGTATCGTCATTATTGTAACTGTATTCGCAAAACAAACGAGCTCACAATTAATAGTGGATCATATCGGAGCGATACGTTTTCCACTTCAGTTTGTGGGCTAGTTGTGACCTGCCACGGCTTTGTTGTCACCTTGTTGTGACCTGCCACGGCTTTGTTGTCACGTTGTTGTGACCTGACACGGCTTTGTTGTCACCTTGTTGTGACCTGCCACGGCTTTGTTGTCACCTTTTTTATTCAATAACCAGTTGTTAATATTATCAGTGTAAATGTGACGATTGCTTCATGTATTTATTGCTTTGGTTTTTCACTTAATTTCTAGTACATGGCTTCCTGAACCTTACTGTACCTTGTTTATTAACTGTTTATGGAGACTGAGTTTGCTTCTTCTACGTCAAATTCACTTTCCTGCTGCAGTGCGACTGAAAACTGCTTCCTGACACACTCGTGTATGTGTACTCACCTATTTGTACTCACCTATTTGTGGTTGCAGGGGTCGAGTCACAGCTCCTGGCCCCGCCTCTTCGCTGATTGCTACTAGGTCCTCTCTCTCCCTGCCCTATTGAGCTCTATCATACCTCGCCTTAAAACTATGTATGGTTCCTGCCTCCACCACATCACTTTCTAGGCTATTCCACGGCCTGACTACTCTATGACTGAAGAAATACTTCCTAACATCCCTTTGATTCATCTGAGTCTTCAACTTCCAATTGTGACCTCTTGTGTCTGTGTCCCATCTCTGGAACATCCCGTCTTTGTCCACCTCGTCTATTCCGCGCAGTATTTTATATGTCGTTATCATGTCTCCCCTGACCCTCCTGGCCTCCAGTGTCGTCAGGCCGATTTCCCTCAACCTTTCTTCATAGGACAATCCCTGTAGCTCTGGGACTAGTCTTGTTGCAAACCTTTGCACTTTCTCTAATTTCTTGACGTGCTTAATAGGTGTGGATTCCAAACTGGTGCTGCATACTCCAGTATGGGCCTGACGTAGATGGTATACAGAGTCTTAAACGAATCCTTACTGAGGTATCGGAACGCTATCCGTAGGTTTGCCAGGCGCCCGTATGCTGCAGCAGTTATCTGATTGATGTGCGCCTCAGGAGATATGCTCGGTGTTATACTCACCCTCAGATCTTTTTCCTTTAGTGAGGTTTGCAGTCTTTGGCCATCTAAACTATATTGTGTCTGCGGTCTTCTTTGCCCTTCCCCAATCTTCATGACTTTGCATTTGGCAGGGTTAAATTCAAGGAGCCAGTTGCTGGACCAGGCTTGTAGCCTGTCCAGGTCTCTTTGTAGTCCTGCCTGATCCTCATCCGATTTGATTCTTCTCATTAACTTCACATCATCTGCAAACAAGGACACTTCTGAGTCTATTCCTTCCGTTATGTCGTTCACATATACCAAGAACAGCACAGGTCCTAGGACTGACCCCTGTGGAACCCCGCTTGTCACAGGCGCCCACTCTGACACCTCGTCGCGTACCATGACTCGTTGTTGCCTCCCTGTCAGGTATTCTCTGATCCATTGCAGTGCCTTTCCTGTTATGTGTGCCTGATCCTCTAGCTTTTGCAGTAACCTCTTGTGAGGAACTGTGTCGAAGGCCTTCTTGCAGTCCAAAAATATGCAGTCGATCCACCCCTCTCTCTCTTGTCTTACTTCTGTCACCTTGTCATAAAACTCTATTAGGTTTGTGACACAGGATTTTCCTTCCCTGAAACCGTGCTGGTTGTCAATTATACACTTGTTTCTTTCCAGGTGCTCCACCACTCTCCTCCTGATGATCTTCTCCATGACCTTGCATACTATACACGTTAGTGATACAGGTCTGTAGTTTAGTGCCTCACGTCTGTCTCCATTTTTAAAAATTGGGACTACATTTGCCATTTTCCATACCTCAGGGAGTTGCCCAGTTTCAAATATGTTGAAGACCTTTGTTAATGGCTCACACAATATCTCTACTCCCTCTTTAAGGACCCATGGAGAGATGTTGTCTGGTCCCACCGCCTTTGAGGTGTCAAGTTCGCATAGCAGCTTCTTCACCTCCTCCTAGGTTATATGTACCTCATCCAGCACTTGCTGGTGTGCCCCCCTGTTCTGATTTCCTGGAGTCCTACTGGTTTCCACTGTGTGTGTGTGTGTGTGTGTGTGTGTGTGTGTGTGTGTGTGTGTGTGTGTGTGTGTGTGTGTACTCACCTAGTTGTACTCACCTAGTTGAGGTTGCGGGTGTCGAGTCCGAGCTCCTGGCCCCGCCTCTTCACTGATCGCTACTAGGTCACTCTCCCTGAGCCGTGAGCTTTATCATACCTCTGCTTAAAGCTATGTATGGATCCTGCCTCCACTACATCGCTTCCCAAACTATTCCACTTACTGACTACTCTGTGGCTGAAGAAATACTTCCTAACATATCTGTGATTCATCTGTGTCTTCAGCTTCCAACTGTGTCCCCTTGTTACTGTGTCCAATCTCTGGAACATCCTGTCTTTGTCCACCTTGTCAATTCCTCTCAGTATTTTGTATGTCGTTATCATGTCCCCCCTATCTCTCCTGTCCTCCAGTGTCGTCAGGTTGATTTCCCTTAACCTCTCCTCGTAGGACGTACCTCTTAGCTCTGGGACTAGTCTTGTTGCAAACCTTTGCACTTTCTCTAGTTTCTTTACGTGCTTGGCTAGGTGTGGGTTCCAAACTGGTGCCGCATACTCCAATATGGGCCTAACGTACACGGTGTACAGGGTCCTGAATGATTCCTTATTAAGATGTCGGAATGCTGTTCTGAGGTTTGCTAGGCGCCCATATGCTGCAGCAGTTATTTGGTTGATGTGCGCTTCAGGATGTGCCTGGTGTTATACTCACCCCAAGATCTTTTTCCTTGAGTGAGGTTTGTAGTCTCTGGCCCTCTAGGCTGTACTCCGTCTGCGGTCTTCTTTGCCCTTCCCCAATCTTCATGACTTTGCACTTGGTGGGATTGAACTCCAGGAGCCAATTGCTGGACCAGGTCTGCAGCCTGTCCAGATCCCTTTGTAGTTCTGCCTGGTCTTCGATCGAGTGAATTCTTCTCATCAACTTCACGTCATCTGCAAACAGGGACACCTCAGAGTCTATTCCTTCCGTCATGTCGTTCACAAATACCAGAAACAGCACTGGTCCTAGGACTGACCCCTGTGGGACCCCGCTGGTCACAGGTGCCCACTCTGACACCTCGCCACGTACCATGACTCGCTGCTGTCTTCCTGACAAGTATTCCCTGATCCATTGTAGTGCCTTCCCTGTTATCCCTGCTTGGTCCTCCAGTTTTTGCACCAATCTCTTGTGTGGAACTGTGTCAAACGCCTTCTTGCAGTCCAAGAAAATGCAATCCACCCACCCCTCTCTCTCTTGTCTTACTGCTGTCACCATGTCATAGAACTCCAGTAGGTTTGTGACACAGGATTTCCCGTCCCTGAAACCATGTTGGCTGCTGTTGATGAGATCGTTCCTTTCTAGGTGTTCCACCACTCTTCTCCTGATAATCTTCTCCATGATTTTGCATACTATACATGTCAGTGACACTGGTCTGTAGTTTAATGCTTCATGTCTGTCTCCTTTTTTAAAGATTGGGACTACATTTGCTGTCTTCCATGCCTCAGGCAATCTCCCTGTTTCGATAGATGTATTGAATGTTGTTGTTAGGGGTACACATAGCGCCTCTGCTCCCTCTCTCAATACCCATGGGGAGATGTTATCTGGCCCCATTGCCTTTGAGGTATCTAGCTCACTCAGAAGCCTTTTCACTTCTTCCTCGGTTGTGTGCACTGTGTCCAGCACATGTTGGTGTGCCCCACCTCTCCGTCTTTCTGGAGCCCCTTCTGTCTCCTCTGTGTGCGTGTGTGTGTATGCGTGTGTGTGTGTGCGTGTGTGTATGTGTGTGTGTGAGTGTGTGTGTGTGTGTGTGTGTGTGTGTGTGTGTGTGTGTGTGTGTGTGTGTGTGTGTGTGTGTGTGCGTGTGTGTGTGTGTGTGTGTGTGTGTATGTGTGTGTGTGTGTGTGTGTAGCAATGCAAAAGACTACAGTAAAAATAACTGAGGGAAACTGGGGATGAAGTTTGGAGGAAGATTAGAAAGCAGACTGGTAAGCCAGCGGAAGTCCTCGATCAAATGACCAAAAGCTCCAGCTTGATACAAATACTTGATACAAATTTTATATTTCTTGAATATCTCTTTAACGTCAAGAGTTGCATTTTTTCTATTAGATTTCATATGAACATTTCACAAATTACTCTGCATAATTACTTACAATCATGTTCAATGGTTTTAGTATATTAAAACAGGGAGAGAGATCATGACAAGAAAGAAAGTTTGGACTTGTCATCACACTTAATCTAACAGTGTCTATGTAAACCACTTTCAAGGTTTTATTAAACCCAAGTAGACCCAACCACTTCCTCAACCTCCTCACACCCATTCCTTGATTTAACAGAACCCGTTCCATTCCCAGCTAAAACTAACTGATGGGAATATAACCTGGTCCAACCTCAGGAGTACCAGGAGTTCTAAAACTGTTGGAGTCAGAGCTTAATGGAAGAACACCAAAGTAGCTTAAGATAAATGATGCAAAATAAGACACGATAGCCTAGGTCATCCTCTTAACAAAGACAACTTCACTGTTGCTAATACAGTCAAATGGGTGACTTATAACAGAGCATTAAATGATAAATAATTGTCATATATCGTTCGGTTTATTTTCATGAGTCAGAACTTAATATCACCATTGTCTCTTGTAATTACCGTTGCAGTATTTTATAATAAACTAATTTTATTGATAAAGGGCAATCTAACCTAACTAACCCTCTTCTGTTACATAGTAACATAATTTAAAGTATGCTTACATACTCGGAAAAAAATAAGCAATGTTACGTTGTACTGTAGTCCGTCAGGGGAATGATTGGAGAGTGATATTCTCTTTCTCTAGCACATTGGTGTATATTCTTTTTCATTATTTCCGCTGTAGATGAATGGTTCAGAAAACCGACACGTTGATAAATTAGACACATGTGCAACTCTTGGGTATCTTTATTGAGGAAACGTTTCGCCACACAGTGGCTTCATCAGTCCATATAAAGGAGAATGGTCAAGAACAGGAGGAGTTTGTATGGACTGATAAAGCCACTGTGTAGCGAAACGTTTCCTCAATAAAGATACCCAAGAGTTGCACATGTGTCTAATTTCTCATTATTTCCGCTAATTATTTTAAGAGAAAATATATGCCTAGAATGCAAATAAATTATTTTGGAATGCCTTGTTTACGTAATACACTTGGGGCTATTTTTGCATAAGAGAGGAGAAAGGCAGGTTATTGTGCAGTTGCTTATGTTATGGGAAAAATTACTGTATACTTTGTTTTACCTGTAAGTGTTCCACTTGGACAATGATTTCTTCGCCGGATAAAACTTCTCAGGGTGAACTTAGTCTTTGAACTGTTGCATCCTCTAGTGTTGAACAGCTGCACTCATGCACTTTTATCCAAAATTAACATGGGAGATGCAGTA